CCCTCTCTATAAATATGGCAGCCGAGGGAGCCACTTCCTGCCAAGATTTCAAGTACCTTCGATCTCAACAACCATCAAGTTTCTTGATTCCATGGCTGGCCTTCAATACAACTTCTTCCCTACAGATTTCTTCTACCCTCCTCGTCCACAATCTGTGAAAGTAGACATCGGCACCGTCGCCCAGAAAAGTATTGCTCTTCCCTTGGAGGTTCAAAAGCGAGAAGTCATGATCACTGATGATCTAAACCAGAAACACCACCCCACAAGCTTAGTTCTACGCCACAACAAGCATGGCAACAAGTCCAATACCCCCATGAACAAGAGGAGTACTGCATGATCAAGCAAGGTGGGATCGAGAAGAGAAGATGATGAAAGCAAGCTTCTCAGATAATTCTCTCCGAACCCAACTTCTTGGTTGCTGCGTGGAGATTTTGTTTCTCTAATTAATAATGTTCCGTGATGAAAGGAGCATGCACCCTCTCTTTTTCTTGGCTTAAAGTCTCTGTTCTTAGGCTATATATATTTCTGTAATCTCCACTTGATCGATGTCTGATCCAAATATATATATATATACAATGAAAGTTTGATAAAATCCAGCAGATGATGAGCTTTTCCCTGTTATTAACATCGCATTCCGAATGGGGATTTCATGCTGTGACCATTGTAACATTTGGCGTAATCTCTTGCACAAGTATCGAATCATGTTAGCTTTATATCCAATTTTCATGAACTACATGACACTTTCTTGAGAGTTTTTATTATTATCAATATTTGTTTCTCGCAAGATATTGAAAGAAATTCAAGGGAACTAATAAAAAAAATAACTTCTTTCCTTAGTGCGGCAGGTATTGATTTCAAAAAAGGGTTTTTGCTGCATGAGATTCATAGTGGGAAGAGATGCATGATGTTTGTAGCTTTCCATCGATGGTTACCAGTGGTCACTTTGTCCCTTTCACAGGAAAGCCAGCATGATTCTTGGCCAATATCTCACAAACTTTGTTTTTCACTCATGGCTGGGAAACACAACGTGCATCACACGCAGGCTGCATTATGAAAAGGAATATTGCACGAATATTCCAAGGTAACACTCATATTCCTCGTACCAATGTCTGGTTAATCTATTCCAAATTAATGTTTCTAGTTTTTTTTATTAAAACAAAACAAGTTTTGTTTCGGTTTTTCAAATAGAAACCATATTATTTTGAAAAAAATTGAAAACAATATTGAAATAATGTTATTTTGAACAAAAATTATACATGAAAAAAGGATTTGACAGGTATTTTACACCAAGCATTCTTGTCTACTTCTTTTGTTCTTCCATTACTATTTTATTTGAACATCGTTCCTTCATTATTATTAAATTCACTAGAGAGTAATTTTTGGATCTCCCACAAACTTGAGACTCTAGCAAAGAATCATGCCCTTTTGCAATATATTTTTTAAAATGAAAAATTAAATGCATCTATCTTATACGTATCGACCATTGTGATTTAATAAAATTATCATGATAGAGTCAATTATACTCCACTTGTTTCTTGTTTCTTGTTGAAGATTGGAGTGAATTCTTTTAAAATGGGAACAAATTACAATACTTGTTCATTGAACCTCTTTCTCAATTCTTGTTCCATGTTAATTTGTTTATATTTAATAATTGAATTCTTTTATTCTTGACCATTAATTCTTAAATTCTAAGGCCTCTGTCATCATACTTGGATTAAATAAGTGAAAGGCCTGCATTTTCTCATGCTTCTCGCCTCATGAGAGCCCACGTATGCTGGATTATTATTATTAATCTATATTGTGCTAAAATTAAGTATATGCTTATTTATGCCTACGCATGCAAGTTTGATCCCTAGTAGCCAAACTCGTTAATAGCCAACTTGCCGATCATATAATAAAAAAAAATAAAATTAAATGGACTTCTGTCATTTATTTTTACTCACATATAATTTTAAAAAAAAATTGACTCGGGTTATTTCTTTTTACTCACTACCAAAATCTTGGATTGTAACGATATTCTGTAGATTGGTCCAATAATTTTTTTTAAAATAGAAAACAAAAGAAAGAATAAATTTTTTTTCCCATTTGCCGTTCTTTGTTTTGGAATTTTAAGGTTCTTATATGAACTTTCTTTTTCCTTTTTCCCCAGGAATCCTTAATTGGGCTTCTTTCCGAGCTTTACTTGGTTCACTACCAGACAGCTCAATTCTCAAAATATGCCCAAAGTATATAGCATTCTAATCCAATCCTCCCATTCCAATTGAAAATGCAAAGACATGCCTGCTGCTGCCCATGCATCTGGTGAAAATAAAACAATTAGATGCAAAATAGAGGGAGGACTCACTTGTACTCAAAATGTTGCTGTGGAGGATGGAGACCATGATGCTCGATCTATTTTTGCCCCTATCATTCCTAAGATGTGACTTTTCAGATGAAGAACAGACCCTGTCATGACATGCAAGCTCCAGAGAATCATTCTGACAAGAGGCACTCTCAAAACATGCCTGTGAATTTTAATAAATGGTGTGTTATGAATCATGGATATTGTGACTTCAATCAATATACAAGTGAGCGCAATGGCTGTGCTCAAAATGGTGAAGAAAATATAGAAAACAGAAGTTGGTAAACAGAAGTAAAAGCGGAGTGAACAGAAGGGAACCCACAATATGCTGCCTCACTGTGTAGTCAAAGCTATCTAATCTCCGACGAAGAGGATTCCACTTTCGACCCCTGTCAACAGCTGAGGAACTCGGTGATCAACATGGATCGAAGAAACAACACAACCATACACATAATATCAGATACATCAAGAGTTCACTGATTACGGTCGCTAAATCTAACACTGTAGAACAGATAGAAAAGCAAGAGCTTTTTCTTCTAAATTCTGTTCTAAAAAGTATTGGATCATAACCAAGGTTATCAAGAATTATCTATTTCATTAGAATATAATATCCACTAACCCAATCCCCAAATTTACTAGTCTCATTACATGTAACATGAAGTCTTTCTTGCAATGGAAGCTAATCTTCAGCCTTTCTTTAAAATTGTAAGGAAAAAATTGTTCATTAAAATTGTAGTATTGAAACACAGCTCTGACTGTAGAAAGACAACCAGGGCCCTTTTTCCAAGGACACTCAGTTACTTACTCTTTGTCGACCATTCAAATTGGCCTATTTCTAAGATCCTTGAATTGCTGACAATTCAAGTGAGATTTCTTGTTCTGATCTGTAAAGTGGCACAGTTTTTTCATGGATTCACAAATCTGTTCCATCAAAGTGTCAAGATGTCAAAGGCAACAAATTCATCTTCAAGACAAATATATCAGGAACGTGCATGCATGAGCAGGTGGAAATCAAGGATCCAAAGCAACTTCGTTGTCGGTCATGTGACATCCCCGTAGACTCACGTTATCATCAATTACACAACACGAGCAATAGTTTTTTTAACAGAGACTAATTTTGAATTATAATTGTAGATAGAATCTTCGAGGGATGGTCAATTTTTACCTGAAAGGATATCACAGAGCTGATAAAGCTTGTATTTGCCGGGAATACAAGACTGAGACTGCCCAGTGAAGAGTTGACACGTGCAATGTTGCTAGGGAAACCATATCTATGATCAAAGCAGAAGGAATGGTTGCTCCAAAAAGAATCCCCAGTAGACCAAGTCCCTTGATGAAATAAATGAAGAGGAAATCAATTAAGATCCAAAGGGTAGGCCATATTTGTATTGCATTTAGAGAAATCACGCCAAGAACTCCTGCCAGTTCTGTATTCAACTTGAAACCTGCTGGTACTCCAATCAACCACACTCAACCTGAGCGCAACAACTCATTGGTAATGCCATTGGCAAAGGTCAAAATCCATAAGCAAACAGATTCAGCATGAACTAAGAGTGCCGAGCCAATCAAAATTACCAAAAGAAGATCAACAGTTCAACTTGACCACATAGAATGCCTGCGCAGCGCAGCACTCTCCTTATATTCCACACATCATTGCGACCTTCAAAGTAAACTTAACAAGAAAATCAAAATGACGAGGAATGAACAATAAACATTGTTCCAAAAACTCATAACAACAGAAGATTCAGAATATCGAGGCATCAATTGTGGCCCCAGTTAGGAAATGAAACATCATATGCAGGTTCAGGTTAATTGTTCATTAAAATTCCACAAGCAACTCAAGGGGAGGATAACTCAATCAGTGGACAAAATCAGGCCATGAGGAGGAAGGTACATTTTTCACCCATTAAAGAATCAAAAAGTTCTTACAATTCTATAAAGACAATTGGCACCACTACCTACTACAAACAAAAACTGAAATTCGCATAGTAGAAGTAAGCATGACTGACATACGTGGGCTTCACAGAGAAACTATCTGCCCATTCTAATGTAAGTGATGCAGCTTCGGAACCCAATCTGTGCCTGTACCATATTTCTTCAAAGGAATCACACACCAACCAAATACATAGCACATCTTTTGTGCATTATTAAAATCAATATCGGAGCTAGAAAAAAAAATTAACATATTAAATAAATATATAATATTTTAAAAAATTAATTATTAATTCATGTATATAATTTTTTGAAGTTAATAATAAAATTTTAATTCAAATACACTACCCAAAATATTAAAAAATAGTTTTAAAAGAACATGAAATAATAAATTTGAAAGTACATGAAATAAAAGTAAAAATAAATCAACTATTGAAATTACATCATTCAATATTTTGTGAAATATAATTCATTTATAATCGAATCTGAATTGATATTGTAATAACCCATCAACTAAGATAAAATAACGATATCATATTAATTGAAAAACAAAGTAATTAAATTTTTTCTCTCTCTCAATTTCTCCTTCCTTCACTTGATTTTTCTTTACATTGGTGTTTAATAAGTTGGACTTTATAAGTTTGCAAGATTATTTTCTCATTTTTTTTATTTTTTTCTTTGATTTTTTTATGTTTTTCCTTTACTTTTCTCTCTTTTTCTCTCGCCTTATCTTTTTTTTTTTTATTCTGCTTTTGCCAAGTTTGCAACATATAAAAGAAAAGAAGAGTTGATTTGTTTTATTTTTTAATGGCAAATAATCATTTTACCATTAATGTGTCGTTTTGTTTTTATTTGATGACTTTTTTGTTAGCACTACCAGGATCCGTTCATCCTAAAATTTTAATTAGATTTTATTTAATATATTTTAAGATACTTTGTAAAATTTCAACCCAATCTATTGATTAGATTGAAAATTATGTTTAATAACGTAAAACTGGTTAAATTGTGATTTTTCATTAAAATTTTTAATTTCTTTAAAAATTCTGAAATTATAATCTAAGTTAAAACATTATATTAAAAAATTTCATATGAATTTTTAGAATTTTTTGACAACTCAATTAAAAATTATAATTTTTTTATATAAAACTAATAAAAAAATATTGATAAAATCGTGATCTATACTAAAACTCACCCATGCCCTTAGCATACCTCCGCCCTCGGTTAAGACAACCCCTCAAGTTTATCACACCCCAACTCGTCCCTCCATTGCTTCCTCCAAACACTTCCAGGCAATTCATCATTGAATCAATCACCCTCTTCCATTCCATCCCTCAACGTTTTCCCATTGCCTCTACCATTCAAAACAAACTGTCCCAACAGAGAAAACGCCGCTCTCTCCTGTAAAAACACTGGCATTTTTTTCATTTACACACCCTAGTAAAAATTAATTAATTTAATTTGTATTTTGTTATCAAATAAAATTATAAAAAAAATTAAAAAATTAGTAGGTTATTTTTCTATAATATCTACAAATATTTATTTTTTATGATCAATCATTGTCAAATAATTTTTTTTCAGTGAAATAGTTTATTTAATGTTGTTAGGTGTTTTATTTTAAAAGCGAAACAATACCTGAAAAATAGAGAAATATTGGACCCAAACCCCGTGCAGTGCCGGGCTCTTTTCCAGAGAACTCAAGGCAATGGATGATGTCTTTTTCTTGTCTTCTGAAGAAGTTGTCGTTTGCTTGCGTTTTGGCAAACGACATGGGCCTACCTCTTCCTAAACTCCTACAAGATGATCGCTGACAGGGACGCAAATCCACCCTTGAATTACCGTTCACACCTTGGTACTACCCTGAATAAATAAATAAATAAATAAATTCTCACATTTTTTAAATTGTTTTTATAAACTTAAAATGCTCTGAGAAGGCAATTTTATTCTTTCATTATGCTATACTATGTTTCGTCACGTGAAAGAATATTTTACAAGTGTCGCAATCATGACTCCTGCAGTTGTAAGATTTAAGTCTTAAATTAATTGATTTATACAAATAATGAACTTATTACGCTAGACAAGATTATTAAATTGATGTGTATTTATAACTATTAAATTTTAACATATTTAATCTATAAATTTAGCCATGATCATGAAGCAACGTTTATAATAAAATTAAATTAAAAACACAGTCATGATGTTAGCTGCAATTAGGAAGTCACAAGACTGGAAAAGGTAGCCTAGAGATTTTTGAGAATTTAAGGATATAACTAGGGTTTTGGCGTACGGACAAAAACATAGTAATAACTTTGCTCTGCAGGACGATGACACCAACTATATATTAAAAATGCCAGAAATTGTCCGCAAGGTAAGGCACGAACCACCCATTTTCGATGATTTTGTTAATTATTTAGTTCCTATTTTATAATACAGTTATTAAGTTGCTATATATTTAAAAGTATTTTTCAAATTATCCTTAGACCTTAAAAAATAATTTTTTAAAATAATTTTAATGAAAACCATGGAAAATACTTAGAAAAAATAA